ATCGAGTGTGGGCTTATGACGTTTATTAACCATACGATCAAGGGGGAGAATGTTGGAATTGATCTACGGTTATAACAAACTGAGACAAAGAAGGGGAGGATTTGCATCCCCAGTACATGCCCTGATCGGGGGCATTGACCCAACTTTTGGTTTTGGTCCCTGTCCCCTTCGCACCACTTACAAAATGAGGAGGTCGTACCCCTTGGGGGTAACACACGTACGGGTTAGCACCCGGTTACTCCTAACAGCCGATCCTGAAAGGGTGCTTAAGGGGATCAGAAGACCACCACCGCCGGCGGCCACCTCCAGGTCCGTGCCGGCGGCATCCTTCGTGTCTGCTACATCGCCTGCTGATGCCCTTCCTCCCGACGATCTTCTCACTGCTGGAGATGCTAAGGTGGAGCCAGGGGCTATCCTGTTAATGGATCAAGATAATCACGGTTAGTAACCACTATTCTGCTTGATGGGTGTTCTAATCAAGAGATCCAGATCCTAGTTATCTTAACTCTAAAGTATTATTGTTAACATGTCGACATCTAAGGAATCTTATTTTTCTCCAAAGAAATGTAGGTTTGATAATGTAGGCAGATGACAATCATCTTTCTGTTTTTTTTTTCTGTTGTATACTATGTAGGTGAATGTTGGTTAAACTACTGTCCATTTGCTTCTGCATTTCCCCAAGCTGCTGCTCCCAGTTGAGTGCCACAAAAAGATGGTGAACTTGTTTTGTGCTTCGAATTATCAGGTTGTATTTTGATATAACTAAGTAGTTGAGGTTGCCATTTTCGTCGATATAACCCAATAGCCAACATGCTGAAGGTTGAAAGCAAAAGCAATTGACTTAAATTTGTAAGCCTAACTGCATTGTAAAATTTGTGAAAATTGGATGGTTTGGTATGTATAAAATCTAAACTGCAAAAACGTCTTACGTTAAGTTATAGAGGTAGTACATTTTACTCGTGTTCACAGATGAATCGAGAATAACATCTACAAGTGCATAACAATTTTTTACAAACAACGGGAGTCGGTGCTACTTGCATGAAGCTCTAACCATGAACATAACCCGAAACTTTCACACAGCAAATCCTCACTTCAGCAACAAAATGTGTAGATACATCGTTATAAGAGTTAAATACACTGGAGGTGCTTCAACTTGTCTTGCACGGTCAGTTTGATGTCCGAAGTTGCAATATACACAAATCTGGTGCTCGAATTTGTCGGGCCGTGCAAATACGGTGCCTCCTTTTGTATTCTAACGTACGTCCAGCACACGTGGTGTGCCAGCATGGCGGTGACGCACTTTTGTGGATGAGAGCGCGAAAGTGATGGGTGTTGTGCACGTGAGATTTTCTTTATACGGAAACCCAATTTGTATTTTTTAATCACATAGGAAAGATTTGAAATAAAGTGTATGCTAATGAGAAATAACATGAAAAAAAATCAAATTGAAGGGGTTTCGAACCAAGCAGTTCCTGGTCAAATACAGCTCAAATTGTCCATAGAAATAGACAATTTCCACATATTGCTCTGCAGTTTCCCTAGTGCGTTATCTATAGGTTTATTTTTTTTTCAAGTTCCTGTTTGGTTTCATGGCACGTAAACTTTTCATATAATAAGTACAATATGAACTTATTTCTTATTTGAATTTTTTTCTATTTTCATTATTGCGTACTTTGAAGAGGCAAACATGAACTTTTTCAAAAAATTATGGCGATTGAAATAGTTCAAACTATATTAGAAATTATTGTGTAAATTTATGTATGTTCATTCTGGACAACAAGCATCTTCATTGTATTTCTAAAATACCCAATTATTAGCAAGTTGACAAAGCTGTATTTTGTAAACTATTCAACAAGCATTAAAAACTACTATGTTGACCTTTTCAATACAATTATCAAAACGTTACAGAATAAATTTCTTGAACTTTTTTCAAAATACACGTTAACATTTTTTATTGCAAGACATTCATTTTTCAAAAATAGTTCTAATCTTTTAATACATGTGAAACATTTCCCGGAAACATGTTGAACATTTTTAAATGCACTATCACTTTCTTTAAGTTTATGAAGTTGTAATTTACAGCTGCACCACTGTTCGCCCCGGCACCAGTCAGAGTTGTCCCGGAGGCTGGCCACTTGGCCTGAGACGTTTGTTCCCGCAGACGGCTTAGTAGCGTGCTCGGTACCGAAGGCTCACTCTTCGTCTCGGCTACAGACTGCAGCGCGGCTGTCCGGCTAGCAAGAACAAACGCTGGAGGCCACCCATGCGAAATACGTCCGGGGAGAAAACGGTTCGGGCGACCCGGCCGTTTGCTTTATGAGTATCAGCTCGATCGAATCTACTCCCAGAGTCTGAGTACTATGTGTTTCACTCCGCGGCCCACTCTCAGCCACAAACCGAAGCGCGGCTGTCCGGCTAGCGAAAACACAAGCCAAAGAGCGGAGGGGACACGAAAAAGATTGAAGGGGGCTCGGATGAAACCGAGTCGGCACCCTCCGCATAAAACTTGCACCACTAAAAGCAAACATTTGATATATCTGTGCGGACTAACTTCGTCTTTTGCATGATCATCTCCGAGGGGAACCCCATCCTCGCCCGGAGGCTGGTAGCAGGCCCAACGCCGGCTGGAACCGGCATCACACCGCCTGCTTCACCTGCAGCATAAAACCTCCGCCCGACTCTTCGAGTCGCCCGGAGGCTACACCCAGCGGGTGCGCCGGCGCGCCCCTACTGGAAGCAAGCCGCACCGGGTGCAGCCCGCAGCCGGCTGTCATCGACGACATCAGTTGGCGGACTCCGCATCCGCGCCCGGCATCATCAGTCAGCGGACTTCGCGTCCGCGCCCGACAACATCAGTCGGCGGACCCCACGTCCGCACCCGACAGCATCAGTCGGCGGAATCCGCGTCTGTGCCCAACAACATCAGTCGGCGGAATCCGCGCCCGCGCCCGATAGCACCAGCCGGCGGACCCCACATCCGTGCCTGGTAGGGCCCCGTGCCCATCAGCAGGCGGACACCATGTCCGCGCCCTGCACCCTCGACACTGCCATCGGTTTCATCGTCAACAACAAGACCCTCCGCCCAACTTTTCCAAGTTGCCCGGAGGCTCGGAGGCTACACCCAGCGGGTGCGCTTGTGCGCCCCCGCTCGAAAACATGTCGCGCCTATTGCACGCCCGCCGCCAGCTGCAACCGGCCCCTCGACGCCATTGTCTGCACCAACAACCGCGAAAAGCCTCCGCCCAACTTTTCCAAAGTTGCCCGGAGGCTACACCCAGCGGGTGCGCTCGCGCGCCCCCGCCGGAAGCAAGCCGCGATGACTGCCGACTGCTGCCTGCAGCCGGCTGTCATCAAGCATCTTGTACATCAACACCCGCTAAAAAACCTCCGCCTAACTTTGCCAAGTTGCCCGGAGGCTCGGAGGCTACTGTCGGCGTAATTGACCACGGATACCCCGAAAACGGGGAGACAATATTTCAAGACATCGGGACTAGCAAAGCCCCTCGGTCCGACTACTCAGGCTGCCCCAGATGCCCCCCTGTCCGACTGCCCAGGACGGCTCGCCACCCGGCTGCCCAGCCTGCTCTCTGTTCGGCTGCACCAGTCGGTCTGCTACGTGAATTCAACTACGGCGTCCCATCCGACACGACACCGACAAGACGGCAGTACACGACACTATTGGCGAATAGTGAAGTACTGTACACGTGTCACCTCATGTCATCGTGTATAATGTCACTTGTCCCTGGACACTATTTATGAAGTGACCCACGGGACAAGCATGATCCATCCATCCATCCACATGCTCACGCAAGGACACTGACGCACACACTCATTCGGCCAGAGGCCACGGCCACCAAGCCACACACTAGCTAGCTAGCTCACTGCTACTGCTATCAGTCCAATACAGCTCCAGGAGCAACTCTGTACTGTGATGTACTTCACATATATACAGACGTGCAGGAGTAGGGGTATTATCTCTTCGGAGAGTCTCGAACCTGGGTAAACTAGCACGAGACCTTGCATACCCGTCCTCGGATATTCCTCAGCAGTCTTGCCCTCACCTCAAGCCACCCCGTGGCATCTGTCGACTCGCGGTATCCCCTACCGACTGACGCGAGAATACTTCGACATCCTCTGTCCCAAGTTTGTATTATTTCTCATCCTTCATGTGTCCTTATAATACACAATATTTCTCATCCTTCATGTGTCCTTATAATACACAATAACACACAACTTGACCCCAGTCTAATAAGAAGGAAAAACAAAACACTTTGAAATGTGACCCTGTTAGTTTGAACCTGAAAGTCCTTTGAGCATCAGGTCCAGCTTGCTCAGACAAGAAATGAAAAATGGATGTTGCTTTTTGCTTTTTGTAAGGGCTGCATTTACAATCGCCTCAATAACCCAATCTGACAAAAAAAAAGGGATTCACAACATTTTCCTTCATGCCCAAAAAAATAAATAAAAAATTTCACAGAAGAATCTGCCACATAGTAAATTTCCTGGTACAGTAATAACAGCTAGTACTAGAACAAAACGATTCACCAAATGCATATTTCACTCTGCATACTCTGCTGCAGGTTATAAAAAGACAGAACATTTTCCGGTGTAGGTTCTTCCAGTTAACTTCAATCGATTGCACAACTGAAATTAACTCAGAACAAATACAAAGCAGCAGCTGAATTTACTGCTACCCGTTTAGCTGCATTGCTACTACCACTGAAATTAACTACTACCACTGAGGCCACTTGTTCAGAACAAAGGGTGATGCATTCCTACCCTACCCTTGCTTAGCTACATTAATTACTGCTACCCGTTTAGCTGCATTGCTACTGATCATAAGCCATGTAGCTTAGCTTAACAAGCCCACACAGTTAATAGTCTCACTCATACTAATCATCCATAGCTTAGCTGCTCTACTACTGAATGATGAAAACTGTTCATCATACTTCTACTGCTACTGCATCAGATAAGTTAACTTAGCATAACCATCAGATACTTCACTGCATCCTCCTCGGAGTCCTGGCCTGCGGTGTTGCCGACTTGGGAGCGCCGCCGGCAGCGGCAGCAGCAGGCTGGATCAGATCAATCCGGATGCTGAGCGTGAGCGTGTCGCCGGAGATCAGCTCCTTAGGCACCGCCAAGAACATCCCCTGCCCCGGCGCCGGCGCGCCGGTGGACAGCGCGCTGCTGCTCACCGCCGAGGCCATGAGGACCAGGTTGTCCTTGCCGTCGCCCGCCGGGCGCTCCACGGAGAGCTTGCACCGGAACCGGGGCGCCGCCCCGGCCTCGCCGTCCGGCCGGACGCAGAGCAGCGACACGGCGGTGGCCGCGCCGAGCGGGCCGAGGGACACGAGGAACACGCTGCGGTCCTCGTCCCCGACGAGCGCGTGCCAGCGGTGCGCCAGGGAGAGGCTCAGGTTCCAGGCCCGGCCGTAGCGGACCGTGACGGCGGGGCGCTGGTGGCCGGCGGCGAAGTGGCCGAGGAGCATGGCGCGGGAGCCCACGAAGACGCAGCCGGGCTCCGGGCAGGAGCAGGGCGCGCACCGGCACGCGCGCTGGTGGTCCGCGGCGTCGTGGTACACCAGGTAGCGCTCGCAGCCGAACGCCCTGTAGGGGCAGGGCACCTTGACGGCGCCGACGACGGCGTCGAGCTCGCCGCAGTGGGCGCTGGCGCGGCTGCAGAGCCCCGCGTGGCCGGCGCGGCAGAAGCAGCACACCACGTGCCCGGCGGCCTCGCACTGCGACAGGAAACGCAGCAAACCAGCACCCCCAAATCATCCATCAGCTTCCTCCCAAATTTCTTTCTTGTGCTTGCAAAGAAATCCTTCCTCTCAAAAAGTGAGATGGAACGAGGGTTTTTTGGGTTCTTGGGAACAAATTCGTGATACTGGCAAACAAACAGAGTGATGGATCTCTGTGGTGAGAGAAGAGAGGAGAGGAGGAGAAATTACCTTGAACACGGGGGGCTTGAGGGGGAGGAGGCAGGCCTGGCAGTGGAGCAGAGCCACGTCCATCCTCACGTCGATCTGGGCCGGCGCCATGGCTTCCTCCGCCGCCGCCGCCGCAGCACCTCCGCCCTGCTCCTGCATCATCATCACCTCTCCCTGCTCGTACTCCGGCTTCACCACCTCCTCCTCAGTCGTCACGCTCTTGCCGCAGCTCTCCGCACCCTCCATTGTTATTATTTCATTTCTGGTTGCAGCGTGTGTGTTAGATGACCATGAAATAAAAATGGAAAGAAAGGGAGGGAAACTGGAGGGAAAGAAACAGGACAAGAAATCGGAAGCCACGGGCGGGGTGTAGCCGTGTATGCACGTGAAGGATGAGGCGCTCTAGTAGTCTGAAGAATCTCTCTTCTCTGTCTTGTCAAACTTTGAAGCCCTTTTTTCTTGATTTCTTTCTAGCTGCTCAACTTTTACCCGCAAAGCATTTTGGCTTTGGCGACTCTGCTGTTCCACACATGCATGATTCCGGCGGGGGGGCGTACGTGTCGGTCTGCTGCTCGTCCGTGCATGACAACAGTAGCCGCTCCATCTTCATGGGAACCACAAAAGAGATGGACCGCGTATAGTATATCTTAGCCAGGACCAAGTGCTTTTATTAAATACGCATAAAATACGCACAAATATGCGTATGTATCATTGCATTAGAGGAGAAGAAGCGGTACTGAAGCTAAGAGGGTGTTTGTTTCCAGAGACTTATTGGTCTAGGGACTTAAAAAAGTCCCTATAAGTCTCATCTAAACCAAACAGGAAGGATTTATAGGGACTTAAAGTGGGCATTTGGGACTTATGAAATAAGACTCTCAAGGAGGGACTTATAGGTCTTATAGGGACTTATAAGTCCCAGAAACCAAACAGGTAGGGACTTTTTAGGGACTTGAAACTTACTAGCAAAAGGGCCCGTGCGTTGCAACGGGAGAAAAAAATTCATAATTTCAAATGGTCATGATCACATTTCGTTGCATCACCGAGATACAATATCTCTCTCAATTTCTCGAAATCATGAACATTTTGAAATTATGAACAATTTGTTAAACTCATGCACATATTTGAAATCGCAAACAACATACTATTACAAATTTCTGAACATTTTCTACAATCAAGAACATTTTTTCAATTTATGAATATTTTTTGCTATTTACAAACATTTTTTAGAAATTGTGAACATTTTTAAGCAATTTTCCTGAACTGGCAAACATTCTATAATCGATGAAAATATTTAGAAATTGGGTGGAATAGTTATTGAATTTGACGAACTTTTTTTGATTTAGCGAACATTTTTGGAAATGCCTGTGCCTTGCAACGGAAAAAAACTATCAAGTTATACATGTGTGGTAGATATAAAAAAGTATGAATCAAATTCACAAAGTATATACAAATCATGTCATGATGCGATAAGACACTTTTAAAATGTAATTTCAAAAAAGAACAATATGATGCTCATCAAGACTTGATTTTTTAAGGCGTCACAACAAAATATTTTGTGGCTGAGCAAACTGCATTGACGGACCCTGCCTGAGCTATACTGATAAATAAAGTGTCTCGTCTGGACTTAGCGTAGCGGTGTTTACCATAACCACTATTGTGATATGAAAATAAGCATAATTGTGTATGGAAGCAAAATAGACATTTAGTCATTTTAATATAGCTTACAAAAACAAACCCTTAGAAAGTTATGTCAATTTTGTTGGGTTCAGCGTTGTACAAAACACGGAAACCCTTTTTTACCCAACGCGAAGGACTAAATAAAATCATAAAACGAGCTATATAGATCTCCTAATAAAACCTTTATGGAACCTACAATTAGTTTTGTTCATTATTTACGGATGTGTTTTAATTTTTGTGAACATTTTCTAAAAGCTGATGGACATGATTTTTAAATTCCTGAATATGCTTTGAATATTGGCTCATTTAAAAAAATCATGAACATTTTTTATTTCATGAAATCATTAGAAATCGTGATTTGTTTATAATTTGTGAGCAATTTTTTAAGTCATGAACATTTTTTGATTTTTAGAATATTTTTTAAATTCACAAACAGTTTACCATTTTCCTACTTTTTTTCAATCCGAAATTTATTTTTAGGGAAAAAACAAAATAGAAATAAAAAAAAGATATAGAAAACAGGGGGCGCCACGACCCGCACATGGGCTGGCCCATTACTGCGCTTGGTAAAAAGAAAGAGAAAAAGCGTGAGAAACAGGGATCGAACCCTGGTCTCTTGTGTGGAGCATCGTTGCCTCGGCCATCGCGCTGCTCATGCATTGGTGCTATTATATCGTATCCACCTTTAATAACAGAACCCTGGAGCGATATTAGAAATTAAAAACGAATCGTTTTTGGCACTTACGGGTGGCATTGGTGGGTAATTATTGCCAACTTCAAGGGCATTTTTAATGACGGACGGGCAGAAGCGATAGCCGCTTTATTAGTAGGGAAAGATAAGTTGAGACTAAAAAAAGTCGTAGGACTTATGAACCAAACAGGGCCTAAGTAGAATGTCTTTTGTCTTTTGACCATTACAACGCTAACCACAAGGATTAGGAGCCCTCGATCAGCATGAAAATCGTACACCGAACTGTCCGTTCTGCATGCACTATAGTATATACAACTTAGTTCCGTACCAGATAGTACTACACCAGAACCACTAATTCCTCTACAGCCACTAATAATTCACGTACATACATGCGTCTGTCTCGACGATCTTCTAACCCAGCATGCTCGTAGCGTACGCATATGATGCATACGTGCGCGCATCTTCTGACCGAGATTTTGCTACCCACGGGCTGGACGCCAACGTAGCCGCTGCTGCATGCACGAGGTCAACTCTTGTGACGCCGTCTCTCAGCTCATCTCCTGACTTTGAGATTGTACAAGTTTCAGGTTGGAAACCCTCAATAACTTAGAAATTCTGAAATAAAAAAACAGGGCTGGGTTTTCACTTTTCAGAAAGTTCGCTCTTCAAATTTTGAAAGTTGCCAAAAAAGGAAATAAAAAAGGAAACCATAGTTCATAACTCCTAAAACCCTAAACCCCTAAACATCTAGTCCCGGTCAGTGTTACCCAACCCCCGGCGCAGGCAGTGCTCGTGCCACCTGATGGGCCTTTGGTCCCG